TCGGAAGAGAGAGAAAAAGGGAGAGAGATATCCTTTAATAATGTTATGCGAGTTTCGTCGCAAATAATTTTGAAATTTAAATGCCATATCTAGAGAGCGGATCTAACTTATGTAAGATCGTGACCCGTTTACGCGTTTCCAGCGAGCATGATACGCGTAAATGCAGATATATGAGCAGATATTATATGCGAATCGCCATTACCATAAACGATTCATTATGATGAATGATTCTATTCGATGAAAATACTATTATTATAATTCACCTAATAATCATTATTAGCTAATATTGGTCGCAGGATACTTTATAGAAAGCGATATATCGCCGTCGTCGGAGACTCGGAGAACAAAAACTTCTCGAAAGATATCGATTAGAATATTTGAGTAGTCACATCGCGACAGTATGCGTCCACGTGGAAATTCACGTCGTTTTGTATCGATCGTAAGAAATAATCTCTCTAAAATAATAAACTCTCCTACTGTACTCTCCCCTTGCTGAGTTTTACGATTATTCTTGGGAAAAAGTTAATGATATATTAATATTGGTTTTATTTTTCGTTGTACGAGAGTAACAATATTTACCTAAAATTACTTTACCATCGGATTTTACTCATATGTCAACAACGATGAAATTTTGATTAACGAGATATTCCTAATCATCGTAAATGAAAATATTTTTCAGAAGAATTATTGGTATTTTAATTGCGAGGTAAACAATAATTTTTGTCGGATGATTGTGGTTACGATAATGTTAATGCTTTATTTGCTTTATTACCGATATTATAATAGGACGGATATACGACAAGATAATTATTATATCGTCGATTATATCTTCGATAAGGATTTTTCTCGTTCTTTCTTAGCAAGGTATCTCGATCATTTGTTCCCAGTAGATAATACGATATCGACCGACGGCTTGCGATATAGGGCTGTGTCAATAACAACGTAGGTACATCAGAAGCGTATGTTACATCGTGATAAAAATGGTTTTCATTTCACGCGAAAGCAATCTTATCGCGATCAAGTCTCGTCATCCATTGATTGCATAATGCACAGGATACACAATTATCGTTTAAGATCGAAAGACAATATCTTTCAATTCAGATCTCCAATTGTAATTTTATATTTAATTCAATAGAAACGAACGAACATCGATCGCTCATAGAAACATGAGCAATTTTAATGCATTCTCGTATCTTCCAATATGTAATCCGCGTATATAAAATCCAACATTTATTTTAGTTTATTATTATATAAGAATCGTGAAATTATTTTTCTTTGTGAATAATATACCACATTGTAGACTCGGTGCACGAAGTAAATAGTTTCCCTAGAAGGTTGAACTCCATAGTAATCTCATAACAAAATACAATGTAATACAAGGCAATTGCATAACAATTTCTTGTATTTTCTTTTACGTTTGCGTGACGCGAATAAAATTTTTCGCGCTGTAATAAGTACAAATAGTTTATCGCGAATGAAATCGGTTATTGCAAAATATTTCACGTATGCGTAATCTAATTTGTTGACGCTCGTCTCTTGTTTTCCAATTGGTCCTGATGGCAAGGGGTTTGTTGCATCTGCGGGAAGCTTTAACCGACGTATTTACGACTCGCGCGTATGCGAGCGCAAACGTTTCATGTAAATATTAGTAGTAGGTAACAAAATAGTACATACATATATCATCGTGTTCGCCGTAGTGTATGGCTCCTTTAGAGAAATTTTCCTCTGAATATCTCCGCGTTTCTCAGTTTAAAGCCAATGTTGCATCGACAGATCAAGCTTATCGGCTGCCCCTGATTATTTCAGTCAGACCCGGTTTCGATCAATCTTAAATCTAATTAACTGATGTTTAACTGATTCTATGTATTTTTTTTAGGAACAAAGATTTATATTCTCGCCACGCATTTAATATTAAATACTGCGATGATTTTAGTTTCTGTTATCTAATATGAGGATGACGTTCAATGTTTGTACGAAATGAGAGAATTATGAGGCGCATTTAGCGTCGAATGTGTGACAAGAATTTACACGATAACTTAAGCTGCGGTTAGATTTAGCTGAGATTGTTGAAACCGTTGGATCTGCTTCTCTGTCTTCCCTTTCCCTTTCCCTTTTCTCTGTCTATATCATAGCTAGAATTTAATTCAGGAAAGGGATGACGAATCGACAGAAATGCTCGATTGGCCGTGTCACGTGGCCCGAACAGCTATCTGTTGGTGTAACTCGGTGCTTAATCGTTTTATAACGCTCAGAGGATATATGTGTGTACGTCAGAATAGAAACACGAAGGTAGGCACACAGGGACAACACACGTGTGTACCTGCAGATTTTCCCTGGCCCGTTGTATATTACTTCCGCAATTATTACTTTTAATTCAGTGTTCTTTGTATCACACAAATGTCGAGCAAGTGTCATCCTATCTATTTATATACATAGTTTATTCCTCGGTCCAGCGGTATATCGATCATTACGCAATCGCCGCACACACGCACACACGCATATATACACAACGCGCGCGTCTTCTATGCGGATATATTCGCCAGTTATCGAAACGTTTTCGTTGAAGTTCGCCTATCGTAAATTGCATCCGGCACGCGCACCGCGCCCGCGGTGCCTTTATTATATTATACTTCGTCTCTTTGTCGCTTTATTATTGTATCTCCATATATCCGGTCGTCGCGGCTCGTAGAGGCCTTAAACGTTTTTTAAATTCAGTCACTGAGGATGATACAAACTCGAAATACATTTATAGAAAAATCGAGTTATATAATTTTTAAATCGAAACACATTAATCTCATTAAAAGTCCGATTATACAATAGGTACATAATTTTTTATTATTGTGTAAGTTATTAATTAATTAAATAATGAAATTATTTTTATATCTTGATCACACTTGTTTATTTTTTTAATATTAAAAATGAAATGCACCAGGAAAACCTCAGAGGCAACATTATTGCTAATTGCTTAATTAAGTACGTATTGTGTGTGTTTCGGTTTAAAGATTAATACGATAATTATACATTTATATATTTTGTGTGCAGTCCTTTGTATAGAGCTATTTATAGAGAACTATTATCTATAATCAGAATAATATTTCTATATAGAATTATCAGTTTGCAAATTTTTAAAAATTTCCGTTCTTCGACTAGAGAATAATGATGCGAAGCGTATACAGCATCGCAATGAACATATTAATGTGAGTTTTCGTCGAATCTCATGCTCGTCCTAATCAAAAATTTTTCCTCTATGGTCCTCCAGTCCGTATCGCCGATATTTCATCGAGAGAAAAAATGAAAAAAAAAAAAAATGAAAGGAAAATGCAGCGAAGGTCTCTCTTATGCGTGTTCGCCGTCGGCGCGTATTGTCACGCGACTCTACGACGCTGATCGTTTATTACAGAATGATCGCGCCACGACACACCACAGAATGCGGCTTGGTGGATTTTGCGTCGCCGCTCTATACGCTATATCGTCGCCGTCCCACTTTGGAAACGCCTCTCTTCCGCATTGATCCGTTCAATCTCACTGGCCCCGTCTCCTCGCCGCACGCCGGATTAAATTGCGCGCGTGGAAAAGCGTTTTCCTCTTTCGCGGCTTTCCGAGAGAGAGATTCCTTCTCGCGCTCCCGAGACACTTTCGTAAACACGATCGACTTATATCATCCCGCTATCATTCTCGGCGCGTCTTCGAGGCTACGAATGAATCATTTGTTAAGCGTTGCGCCGATCGCGATTGTGGAAAAACTATTATCCGCGCGCACAAAATATCGCGTATGCCGTCTTCGATGTCGATTAATTTTTTTGCCGAAATCCAAAGTATTTTATTTCTTCAATCGATTCAGTCCCGTCTCGTCCATATTTTATATATAAATTCAAGAATTTATTACATCCATAATTGGATGGAACAAACATGTGTCTCTCTTCATAGTGATACATTTATATTCTTTATAATATCATAGATTGGAATTGATTTGTAAATTCTGTTACAACGCGAAACAACGATATTCTATATGCTCGGACATACCACCGCAAAGACATGAATTATTCACATATGTAGCGGATTGTTTGTACTCAGTTGATCGATACAGGAGGGATATCGCGTTGATGCAAGTAGTTTCTCTTTATATTTGGCAAAGCTTCGTCAAGCATCGACAAAGCATCAGTAAGCAAGGCCACATGAGGGGAAACATAGTGTGAGGTTTACAATTGTTCATATTTATTTAAATCGAACTACAATCGCGAGGATTTTTATAGTCTTTTCAGGGCAGTGCATAAAATATATTTGAGGTTTTCGATTGTGCGTGCGTTTGTATACCCAATCATTACAGCAATTTATGACCATCTTCAGTTGGGAATTTGCTGAAATTCACCCCGCGTTACAGTGGTTACCACAAATCCGTTATTTGCGCGAGCGGTCGCCTTGGGAAACTGACGTAATTCGATACGTAATTAATAGCGCGATGGAACGCCCGCTATTTAGGCTCCCCTCATTTTCATCCGGATCTCTCTCTCTCTCTCTTCGTTTCTCTCGGCGCCGGGGCGAGTTGCGTTCGCTTGCGTAATCGCCTCGTCTCGTAATAAGTCTCTTCTCCGTCGCGATCTAATCCCGGGTCCCTGACGCCGAAGGCGCGTATAAATACGTCGCCTCGAAAATTTGCGCATCTGCCTTTGAGCGTTTAACGAAGCAATCATCGGACGCGCGCGCGTCTTATGCGCATCGACCGTTGAACCTTCCGAGATAAACCGTCCGAGACAATTTCGAGTGGTGGATTAACGTTAAATCTCGCATTTTTGTTTTAACATTACCGATATTGCGCGTAATGGCAAGTTTTCGTAATCTGTAGAGTCTTAAAGAAAGAATTGATGGGGATAATTTATAAGACAGAATTATATTTAGCTGTTCCGTCTGAATGTTTTTAAAGAATCCATAATTTTTTTTTCTGTTTTTATAAATTACCTCCACATTGGACTACAAGATGATATTACGCCATTAAATATTTTATTAATAATCTAGTCTCAATGATTGACACATCTTCTTCGCAGAAAAAAATAAATGAGAAGGGATTAATTCATATTTAGATTAATAAAAATGATAAATTGTATACTTATGTTAGCGAGAAAAAAAAGGTGGTTTTTGTGTCCATCTTCGACCTTGTCTTCTCAATCATTTGCTCGGGGGAGCCAGAATTAAGGTTGAGATTAGTCTTCTTAATCAATTCACAGGACGGTGCAGTGAGTGGAGGGGTTCGATTTTTTAACAGACACCCGTAATTATTCCGGAGAAGTTCTCTCATTTCGAGTTTCTCTTCGGCAAATAGAGAAACCTCTATATCTTTCAGATTTCCTGCGTATTTCTGCGCTTTCCAACCCCTCAATATACGTTGCGCGTCTATTGGAGATGCGTCGGCATTTTCTGGACAACACGAATATAACGGGTCAGCGCGTTTTTTCCCATGTTATGTTTTGCGTCACTATCTAACCCTCTTTCGTTCCTTCTCATTGGCGCCCTCAGCGATCGGCTATCGCTTTCTTTTCGCTAAACAAAAAGACATTTGACGTCAACAAAGTATACTTTTGTGCGAAAAATAAATGAAGGATTGATGAACATTAATTTTTGGTAAAGTTGTAAAATTTTTCTAATCTTTAAAATCTCACAATTATAGGAAACTTTTTTTTTAGCAATTTCTGCATAGTTAGAAAAAGATAAAAAGTCACAGATAAGATATATCTTATTATTACGATGGAAAATTCAGTGTAAAATATAAATTATGAATTTGATTGTAATTTTAAGATTAGGTATTCAATTTTTATAGAGAGGAATCTCTCTTCCAATTTTATTACTATTAATATTATTATTCTATTTATATATATTATATATTATTAATAAATTACATTTATCTATTTATGTATTGTTTAAATTTGATTTGTTTATTTTTTACGATATAAAAATGATCATTTTTTATTGCGTTCTCCGCGTTCTTGCCAAGGATTTGCACGCTGTTTGCGTTTACGTGCAGTTACGCGAGAAATGTAGACGAAAGAGAAATGATTTTATAATGAAACTTTCGCACATAACACTCT